CATTTCAACACACAAAAAATAAATGGAAAAAATAAGATAAATCTAATGAAAAGTGTCCATCTTTGACATTAAGCTTAAAAAAATCTGTTGACGATGATGATACTGTTCATTTTTCAGAGCTTTTTAATGTGAAAATATACATTGCAATAGATAGGTTTACAATAAAGTTAAATGATAAAAGTTTTGAAGTTACACTACTACTACTACTACTACTAGTAATAATAGTTATGATGATAATAGTAATAATACAAAAAATAATAATTATAGTAATACGAACAAATTGTGTCTGAGGAGTCAGTTATGTGGAGGAGATGAGTTTGTAAAAGTTAGTTTTGAGTATGTTTGTGAAGGAGGAGGTGAGTCTGAGCTTAATGCAGGGGTGTCACATGTTCCAACTTACGTTTTGACTTTGAAAGAAGTCTCTTATATCCACTTTTCGTTTTCTTGACATGCTGCCTCCTGGCTGTGCCTAACTACCAAAGACTCACAAATGAACACTTATTCAAATGTTATGTAATGGAAGCTGAGCTGAGCTCTGATATTACACAGCGTCTAGTTGACGATGTGACTCAGTACCGGTGTTCCCTAGCGGCTCCAAACTAGCAAAACAACGTGAGCACGTTCTGACTGTTTACAACTTGAGTGACAGCAGCAACAGCCAATAATACGTTAGCAAGTATCAGCAGAGCCAATAGATTAGATTTTGGGCGGGTCTAATAGTAAACCGGTTTCCGTTTCGGTCCTAGTGCTCAACCAAATCCATTTAATGGAGCGTAACATTGTTTTTGGACAGAAAAAAGTGCGGGGGACCAAAACTGCCTTTTGAAAAAGTGGGGGGGGACATGTCCCACCCGTCCCCCCCCAAAATTACGTCCCAGAGTGTAATGTTCCTGTTAATAGTTTCTCCTGTTAAGTGCTCATTTATTTAAATTATTCAGGTTTATAAAAAACATTTGGACATACATTTTATTATGTTCCAGTCATTAGTCATTTATATTTCACTATTGTAGTCATTTATGGTAAATTAAGTAAGTTCAATTAACCCATTTTTCTTGCATTCTTTAATGAAAAAAGTAATTGAGTAGTTATTTTTCTTGGTAAATAGTTATATTTATAATCTCGTAACTCGGTAACTGAGTTACTTTTTTGACAAAGTAATTACTAACTATAACTAATTACTTTTTTAAAGTTATGTTCTCAACACTGGTTGCCAGTCAACTTCAACTTCAACTTCAAGCCTGGTTCTGGTCTATAGGGCCTTACATGGACAAGCACCATCTTACATTGGTGATCTTCTCAGTCCCTACCAGTGTTGGGAAAGTTACTTTTAAAAAGTAATTAGTTGTAGTTACTAATTACTTTGTCAAAAAAGTAACTCCGTTACTAACTGAGTTATGAGATTATAAAAGTAACTAATTACCAAGAAAAATAACTACTTAGTTACTTTTTTCATTAAAGAATGCAAGAAAAATGGGTTAATTGAACTTACTTAATTTACTATAATGTACTACAGTAGTGAAATATAAATGACTAATGACTGGAACATAATAAAATGTATGTCAAAATGTTTTTTTTATAAATCTGAATAATTTAAATAAATAAGCACTTAACAGGAGAAACTACTAACAGGAACATTACACTTATCTAGACTATTAAAAGGTCGCTGTGTGATATTTAACAAGACCCCCCCCAATCAGCAAACATTTAAAATTGCAAACAGAAACACCTGTAAAGGTTCCCGAGCCTTTAAATGGTATCTCAGTCTAGTCAAATTACAGAAATAAATGTAATTTTGCACAGTATTGTAATTTTCCAGCTTCACATAATTGTGTGTTATTAGTAGCATTTCTGTTGCTGCTAATCTAGTAATGGTTAAATAAATAAATAAAATGCTTTAAAATGACACTAGAAGAGGCACAAGCCTGATGGAGGACTTACATTTACTAACGTGGGTCAAACCCAACCACAGAAGTGCTGAAGCTGGGTGGTAAACACACACAGGTAGTTCTGTAAAACACCTGAGCTCCATGACGTCTGAGACTGATGCATCAGTGTTACAGCGGGACTAAAGACATGATCAGAAACAGGTTACAGCTGGATGATCTAGGAAGGTAGAAGATCGTGATGTCTGAGCGGTGAACAGGTGAGCGGACCTTCGGGACGTCCCGCTGTCACACTAAGAAGGGCACAGCTGCAGATCCACACCTGCAGCCGTAGACTGTTCATCACGTCTTCCTCGTTCTTCACGGCCTTGACGCGCTTGGATGAAAACATCTACCTCTTTAGCTCCTGATCAGCTGATGACAGCTTCAACACACCGCACAGCTTAATGCACGCATTTCCTTATCAGTAACAGAAACAACGTTTTGATAAAGGAAGACGGTAATTAATTAGTTTGTCGTTACTAAAAAAAATATTTTGTTAGTAACACGGTTATTTTAAACGGCGTTATTCCCATCACTGCTCTGTTGGGTCTGCAGCAGGCAGCGACTGAGACTGTGAGAACACTGAGGGTCTCCGCCCACCCGGCCAATCATCATGGTGTTTGTAAGTGTGTTACCGACACCTCTCTCTCCCTGGCTGCAGCTGAAGTGTGGCGGTCAGAAAGCCTCACACTGCTGCTCAACGTTCGACAAGCACATAGTAACGCACAACCTTCCGTCCCCAGTAACGGTAACGGCGTTGGAACAGTGGGAAAAGAAAGTAATTAGATTATTCCCTTACCCCAAAAAAAGAATGCTGTAAGTAACGCCGTTATTTTAAATGGCGTTATTCCCATCACTGGTCCCTACACCCCCAGCAGGTCCCTGAGGTCCAGTGATCAAAGCCTACTGGTTGTGCAGCACCAGGCTAGACCAAAGGTGACAGATCATTTGCTGCTGTGGCCCTCATACTCTGGAAGTATCTCCCCCTGAGCCTGAGAACAGTGGACTCAGTGGTCTCCTTTAAAAAGCAGCTGAAAACTCACTTGTTCAAGCTGGCTTCTGCGTGACCTTCATCACCACTCTCTCTTTATTCTGCTCTCCCCACCTATTCCACCTTTCTCAGGATCCACTGATTTCCCTCTTTCCTATTCACTCTCTCTCTCTTTCTTTACATTTTTAATCACAATTGTCTATTTTTTGCTCATTTTAAATATATTTTTTAATCATTTTCTAAATTCTTTTTTATATTTTTATTTTTTGTTTTTGTGAAGCGTGTCGTGATTTTTATCTTGAGAGGCGCTATAGAAAAGATATTTCCTTCTTCTTCCTCTTCATCACATGTAAACAAGTCCATTAGACACTTAGGAAGGAATTGAACATACTTTCTTTTTGTTAAGATCCAGAAATACAACCAAATCTATTTCTCTCAGTTTATAAAAGTCTGCAGGGACAAAACGTTCTGTTTTTCATTTCTAACATTCCACTGAGTTCAGTTTCTGATCCCCTTGAGGGGAACACATTTCTTTGTCCAAATATGGTCTCAGGGAAGTAACAAACACTGATGCAATGTTTGGTGCTGTTGCTTTAAATGGCTCCAGGAAACTGGGCTCCCACGGACGTCATGGGTTTTCCTGAGCCAGGCCTCACAAGAGCAGGAAGTGCCTAATATGGTCTGTTAACCTGCTCCCTCCCCCCCTTTTTGTGTTTCCTGCAAAAGGAAGCAGCAGAAAATGGGGGGATGGGCGAGACCAGAAGGGAGCTCAGATAGATCCAGGGCCTCTTCCTGGCTGTTCCAGAGGACAAAAATGCCTTCCATTCCTGTAGAGAGAAAGGCTGAACTACTTCTGTTTCGGTGTTTGTTGAAGTTTGTGCTGTATGGAATGTTTAAAAGTCGTTTAATCATAATTTAGAATTACCTCATTGGACTAGAGAAAATAATACAAGGAGCTGATTTTAGATAACAGCAAATAACCAAAGTGTTGGGTTTGGCAAAATTACAGCTAGTTAAGCTATGCTTTGCTAAAGTGCACTTATTTATAATACTCTCAGGACATGGGTAGTTTAGCTAGAGCTAAAACTGACCTTCATGTGCCAGTAAACAGTAAGGGTAAGCTTTTTCGTTTGCAAACTACAATCAAAACCCATTAAACTCTAGTGCTTTTACAACCCCCACCAAATCATCAAAGGCCTGGAATTGTGGTCACTTTGGGGTATACACAGAAGAACGTGGGGTCAAACTACATTTTTAGATGTCTTTCAAAAAAAGCTGCATCAGACCAATAAAAATGTTCCAGTAGATCTCAGAGAAGAGAGAATGCAAGCAATCTTATTCGAAATTTCTGGAGTATAAATCTAAAGTTTCCCAGAAGATTACCACTCTGATCATCTCCTGTTAACAGTTCCATCTCCTTTCCTTGTCCCTTTACCTCAGATGACCCAAAGTCCTACTAAGATTCAGAAGCTTACAACCAGATTTGTTCTGAGAGGGTCAGAAACACAATAGAGGTGCGGGCAAAGGGCATATAGGCATATGTCTAACTTCTCAGGAGATATAAGATGCAATTTTCAGGTGGACCACTGCTCAATGGTTAAATTAGCCTATTTCTTCTGCTTCTATGCTGTAGCTTCACTTCTGGTGTTTTTTTGTTTTTTTAGATTTTTAACAATTTTTAAATGTGTGTTTTTAATGTTCTAACTTTGCAGCTTAGTAATTCCTTATTTAAGCATTAATAACAAGCAGTTATTGGTGCTTTATTAATAGTTTATTAATTCTTAATAATGCACTATGTGATGTTAATAAGGAGACCCTTAAGTGTTGCCATAATGTGTTTTTTATTTTTTTTTTTATTTAGCAAATAACCTGTAAATTAGCATTTAGAACTCTGTTTTTTCAACAGATTTAACTCATAAATGTATAATCTGGTCTTTTATAGTTCAGACTGGAACTACAGTTGTGTAACAGCTGCTCCAGGCTGGTGGAAACATAGGGTGGAAATAGTCTGTACGCGAGGACGGTGGGCGGGGCTCTATCACGAGACATTACGAGCGTGACGTCAACGAGGTAATAAGTACTTGTCCCGCGCGCCGTCTGTTTTGAGACGGCGCGTGAAGTCACAGTCACGAGACGGAGTCCTGGCGCTGTGATTGTTTTGATCTACTTTGAAAACAAACTGTGACATGGAGGTCAGCGCTGAGGCCAAGAGGATCATGGTGGTAGCTTTGGGGAAGCTGTACAGCTCGCGCACGCAGCGAGGCGGGGTCCGACTCCACCGGAGCCTCCTCCTGACTCTGGTGATGAAGTCCGCCCGGGACATTTACCACGCGGCCCAGACGGCGGCTGAGAGTGCGGCGGCTGTTTGTGAACAACATACGGAGATGGAGACGTGCGCGGAGCCGAGTGGAGGTCAGGAGCTCCAAAGTCCCAGTTCTGTTGCAGCAGGACGGACTGAGACTTCCCCTCACCTTCTGCCCGGAGACGCTGACTCTCACAGTGGCGCGGACAAGGAGAATACGTGCCCCTTTGGCCCGGCACAACACACCCGGAAGCGCCGGGGCAAAGCTACAGCCGAACCGGACTTCATACCCTGTAAAAAGGCTAAACTTGAGTGTGGGATTTCCCCTCAGCAGCTCCATGTGAGCTCCGTTTTGGACTATGTGAAATGCGGTGAACTGGGAACCCCCATCCCCCTACAGACGGTCATCGCGGCGTGTTGAAAAGCCCTTCGTTGGCTTTACGTTTTACACACGTACTGAAAGTGGTCTTGAACTCCTCTCACCGCTTCGAGGTCTGGGTTAGGATAAAGACCCGGATGCCCGCCTCGGAAATCCCACTCAAGACAAGTCTGGGCATGTTACGAGTCTTGACGGAAGCAGCCGGTCTGTGCCCCTGGCCCAGTCTCAGAGACTTCCAGATGGATCATGGCGGAGCTCCAACATCCCAACGGGACTGAGCTCTGAGCTGTCTTTGAACTCATCCGTTCTTCCTCTCAACAAATCAAATGAAGTGATTGTGTTGATGTCTGCGTGTTGACATGAATGTGATAAAGTGTAAAACATCTACCTCAGTATTTATTAAACTTTTTCTACTTGAAGTTAACCTGACCTGGTCTGGTTTTGTTTTCATTTTCACAGGAAGTGTCAGATTTAAACATGCTTGTGTCTGGAGGGAAAGTAGTTGATAAGAAGTTGTCCTGCTCCTTCCCCCACAGCTTTTCTTTATCACACACACGCACGCGCGTGATTTGCACAATAAAAGCCAGGACAATTCAGGGGATTGTGGTCCAAAGGATGAGGGGGTGGGTGCCATAAAGCCACAGGCTGACCAAACACTTAAAAACAATGGGGGTTCTGTTGCTCCAGGAGTGTGAGCTGGAGAAGATTGTCTGGATCATTGAGATCATTAGTGATGCAGTCACTACTTTGATTCAAGTAACTGATGCAGAGTTTATGTCAAATCTGTGAGGATATGATGAAAATCCTATCGGCTATTTAAAGGATGCAGTTCAGGTTTCCTGCAGCATGTTCAGGAGGATTTTCCAGTGGCTGCTTGTTTTGGGGGAAAGGAGGTGAAGCTAGAAAACAAGAAGGAATGCAGCACCAAAAAAAAAAAAAACCCAGGAATGCAGAGGGTGGGGGGTTAGGCTGTGTGAACCCCATGAGGCCCTGGCTGAGAGCTTATTCTTCCGGCTGAAACTGGTGCAGCTTGTCTGTGAACACCGATCTGGATCAGTCTGGTCATGTCTGAAAACCTACATGCATCATTCACCTTCCCTCTACACCTCCTGAAGCGGCATGACAGAAGCATTTTACTCCCAGGAGCTGACTCCAAATAGAGTTTCCTCACATTTATTAGCATTACAAGGGAGTGATTTAAAACTAGACTCTTTTTGCATATACAAATTCATTTGGAATGTACTGTCGATTTAAAGCTTTTTTCTTAGTGTGTGACAGGTTGTGTGTCTCAATGATGTACTGGAGACCTGTCCAGGGTGTCCCCCGCCTTTAGCCCGATGCTGGACTGGTATCCCTTTAAGACGAGTTTTTTTTCTGCAGGATATATTGAATATTTGTCATCATTCAACACTATCAAAATGTGCAACATCAATTTGCAGGGTCTGCTAGAACTGTAGTAGCTCATATGCAATAATATTTACAGTATTCTGAGTTTTGATGACTGAACAGAGAGAGGTGAGGAAAATGTCCATTCATTACAACATTCAGCAATGCTTTTTATGATGCAGTCCTAGTTTGGAGTCATTTTACAATATTTATCTACTTCGGTCTTGATCATGCTGCAACTAGCTGTTTTCTATGGAACTATAAAGTGTTCAAAATTAAATCTATAAATAATACAACATTAAATATGTATCTACATGAGTAAACACTGGACAATTTTTATTTGATAATGAAATAGTGAAAAACAGACTGTAAAAATCTGAGCTCAATTTTATGAAATGTTTTTCTTTTAAAATGTGTTTATAGAGCAAGTCAACCCCTACCAGATTCTAACTCCACTCCCACTTCATGTTTGAAAAATGCAACAAATGCTGTTGCCTGGCAGACCGAGGGGGCGGAGCTGCTAACAAATACGCACACACACACACACAGGCATTGTGACATCATAATCTACCAGTTTACATCATAGCATACCTCTTAGCCAATAGCGGTGGCAGATTTAAATTAGAATACAATGCAGAGTTTTTACCTGACAACGGCACAACACTGCCAGTTTTAGGCAGAATATTTAGATTTTAACTAAGATGCACTGAAGTGCCAAATTATTGACGGCACGTGTCTGCAGCACGATTAGACACTCGTTTCTTTAGTTTATCAGCAAAAAAAAGGTTATTTGGGGGTGACTTACTCTTTATGAACGTAAAACTTTCCAAGTTCATCCTTCCCCAATGATGCAAATTATTGTTCAGGCATTTTTATTTTGTTCTTTCAGTTTTTATTGGATCATGTTCATTTCACAAAGTTAGCTTTAATTTCATAATAGTGTTTTTTTTTTACTATGGCTGATTTATATCATTATGGCAGTTTTCAGCAGAATATCTTAAGGTTGGTTTATGCTTGACACGTCCGCGAGGTCCGCACGGCGAAATTGAATCATTTTAACAACCACGCGCCTCCCCATGGCCCAAAATTTCCGCACCGCGCACCTAGGAAATTTTCTAACCACGCGGACGGCCGGACGCGGAAAAACATGGCGGACTGGCAAGAACTAGTATGGCAGAGGTTCGTAAATACAGACATTTGTATGATTCAGCTCTCAGAGATCACCGTGATCAACATGTTGTTAATAATTCTTGGAGAGAAATTGCTCGCACTGTTGGAAACGACGAGGACGCTGTTAAAAAATGCTGGAATGCCATGTTGTAAACAACAGTAATTTTTACTTCTACTATGGTGTAGTGTTGGATGCATGCCATAGAGCTCCATGCTGCCCCCTACAGTTTGGGAGAATATTGGCTCACCGCAGAGACAAGCCGCATGAACCATAAACGCTGCAAGTTGTGAAGCGCGTTCCATCCGCGAGCCGCATCACCAAGCGGAAAGTAAATGCGTCAAGCATAAACCAAGCTTTGGTCAGCCAATAGGGAGCCGAGAAGCCTCCTCCCTTTCCAGTTGGGTCATGGGACCAAAAAAATTGAATGCAAGTCAATGGGGCTTAAAACACTATTTGCTAATCCATTTTGCCTTACGCCCTAAATTGCAAATATGTTATAGTTCTATTTAAATGTAAAGTAACGAAGTGTGTTTTGACCACATTTGGCCACATTTATGAAGGCTCTTTCTTCCTGAAGAAAGTATTTGACGTTTGCTGAACTTACAGCCATTTTCCCTCAGTTTTTCTCCGTGTCTGGTTCGGTTACGTCACCTTTGTGATGCACATTTGTAGTCTGGGACTTATTTTTACACAAAACCTAAAATAGCTTTTCCCATCGTTCGAAAATAAGGTATCAAAACCTGTCTTTAAAATTCATAGACATCATATGTGAAATCCATGGCACAAAACAAGCAGAATTGGAAAATAACATTTTTCACCCCATTGACTTGCATTCATTTTATCGTTCTTCTGGGGACCCATGGTCCGGAAGTAGTTAGGAGTGACTTAAGGCTGATTCATGTTTCTCCGTCTAAATGTCAAAATGAGCTGAATGTATTGAAAAATGTAGAAGCAAAAAGCACCAACAAGCAAATAAAGTACAAAAAGTAAGTGAAGAATGGAGAAAAATAATCCTAAATAGCATAAAACAAATCTGTGAACATTGTATAAAAATTTGGGACAGCTAAAATGTCTAAGCATGTGTTATTTCAGTTGGACAAATTTAACAGTTTAATCTTTACATTTAGCTGAACTGTGAAATTAGCAGCTTATGCAAAATTTTGTAACTGATTGCTGAAATTGTTTGATTAGCTGAAATGAAGCTGAAACTAAGCTAAACTGGCTAATGAGCTGGATGTAATGAAAGATGTAAAAGCAAAAAGCACCAAAAAGCAAATAAAGCACAAAAATAAGTGAAGAATCAAGAAAACTAATCCTAAACAGCAGAAAACTGAAATCTGTGAACATTGTTTAAAAAACTGGACAGCTAAAATGTCTAAACACTTGTTATTTCAGTAGGTCTAGTTTAACAGTTTAATTTTTTCATTTAGCTGAACTGTGAAATTAGCATCATATGCTGATTCAGAAACTGATTGCTGAAGCTGCTGAATAGCTGAAGTGAAGCTGAAACTAAGCTAAACTGTCAAAATGAGCTGAATGTATTTAAAGATTTAGAAGCAAAAATCACCAACAAGTGTAATAAAGCTCAGAATATAGGTGAAGAATGAACAAAAAATGCTAAACGGCAGAAAATTTTAATCTTTGAACAATGATTAAAAACTCGAAATTTGAAATGTTTAAACAGCTGGCATTTGAATGAGAATAGTTTAATGGGTACATATTTACAATTGGCCTAACTGTGAATTTAGAAACATTTGCCGATATCTGAAACTGATAGATAAACAAATGTTCAGATTTGATATAGGATGGATGGTTGGATGAATAAAATGATGGATGGAATGTTGTATGATGTTAGATGGTTTATTGGATGGATGGATAGATGGATGGATGGATGGGTAGAAGCATGTATAGATTTATATGTGGATGGATTGCTTAGGCCAAGCCGATCGATTTGATGTCTCACATGTGTGGGTGTGTAATTCCATTTAACAAGAAGATGATTGACCTCTCTCAACCAATCAAGGAGCTGGGAGGGAGCGGGGCACATTCCCACCTTCTGACGGTCGATCAAATTGAACTTGTTTCTAGTTTTAAGTACAGATAGTTCAAAAAGATCAAAAACAGAAGTCTGTTATTGGCTCAATATTCAGCTTTTTATATTCATTCCTATGAGACTTGGTTAAAAAGATTTCTAGTTCCTTGTGTTGCCATGGTAACAGATGACAGGAGTCTAACTTTAGTAGAGCAATTTATAATGCCAGATGACTCTTTTAAACTTTGAATAGCATTTCGATACTGAAATATGTTGATACAGTTGTGTCTAAAATGTTGTTAAATGTTGTTGGCAAGCACGTTGTCATGGTAATGCAGAACACAATATCAAGTTAATACAAGACTCCTGGGACCAAGCAGGTTGAATTGATGCATCATGTGTGTGGGTGCATATTTCCTTTTAGGCAGAAGACAATTGAAAACTCAGCCAATGAGAGAGCAGCGAAGGAGGAGGGGGCGGTTCCTGCCTTCTGACTAGTGTTAAAATGTCAGCTATGCTGTTAGTTTTAAGTGTATAGAGCTCAGAAAGATAAGAAACAGCAGTATGTTATAGGGTCAATATTAGGCTTTTCACATTCATTTCAATGAGACTTGTTTGGGGATATCCTTATGCACTTGTGTTAGCATGGTAACAGATAACGTATTTAAAATTTAATACAAGATTCCTGAGACCAAGCTGGTCGATTTGATGTATCATATGTGTGGGTGCTGGATCCTGCTTGGACAGAAAATGGTTGAACACTCTCAACCAATCAGAGAGCAGCACTGTTTTCCCGCCTTTTCCCCCGGCTATAGAGCTCCGGACCCCACGTGAC